AGTATCGGATTGGTCCGAAAATGGTGAGCAGAGTATGGTAACCTCATTGAACAAGTGGACAAGGGAAATGCTAAAAAGCACAGGTGTAGATCAGGTCAGCAACCATTATTTTCCGACTGGAAGACCTAATCTGTGAATAGGTTGTTGATAGGAGAGCAAAGGCTTTGGTTGTGAATAGGCTCAGATTCAAGAATTTGCCCTTGCAATGGCACCACAGTTTGACATAGCCCCTGAAGACTTCAAAGCATCACAACACTGGCTGGATAATTTCCTTCAGCAAAGTGAACTGTCTTTAAGAAGATCTATAACATTATTTAGGTTGGAAGATACTCAAGTTATTAAGCGAGCTCTTGCATTCAAGTCCTTTATTGGTGATGCTGACTTCTCTAAATACAATCTTTCCAACATGATTGCTCTGGATAATACTGCAGTGTTTATGGGTCAATCATCTCAAACAACAAGAACAGTGGGGTGCCTCAGTGTGCATTCCCTCCACTGCTTACAAAAGTGCACGTGTTTCCTGTATTTTGGCAAGTCGTCTGGATGGCACTAAAATCCCACCTTTAATCATTTCTAAGGGCAAGAAGGAAAAGATTGAACGTGTTTTGGGCGTTTTTATTCTTGAAACTGAAAAAGCCTGGGCCACACAGTGGTTATAAGGAAGCGGGTCGATTTAATGCTGCCGCTTGTTATGCGAGGGAGCCAAAAAGGTCTGCTAGCTTGGGATGCAGCCAGCACTCACCGCGCTAAAGACATGAAGACATTTCTTCATGAAAGAAAAATAGATCAGATAATGATCCCGCAGGAATGACGGCCTATCTCCAGACTCTTGATATTGCAATAAACAAGCCGTTCAAAGACAATTTGCACATGGAAATTAATGACTATATTGAAAATAGAATGGAGAAAAATCAGCATGGAAACTTTGTGAAACCTAAACTGCAAGAAGTTGTGACTTGGGTGAAGAATTCATGGGAGAAAATCACTGACAGTGTATTGCAAATACACTGTGAGCAGGCTACCTTGACAAGAAGTACTCATTTCTTGAATCAAGAGCACAAGACAGTGCTATTGCTAAACATGAGAGATTTGGTCCACTGATTCTGAAAGAAATGGAGTCACAAGAAATTCACCAGAAAATTCAGGAATTGGATTGTTATGATGATGTTCCAGAAGATGATGACATGATTGTCATTGAATAAATGAATAAATTCTTAATACTGTAGGATTCACAGTTTGTCTGGTTTGTGTTGACAACTACCGTACTACCATACCGTATACAGGTAATAAATTTCCTTTATTTTCATTTAACAATAAATGTGTACCATATTCTTTTTCATGGAAAAATAAGCCATCCCCTGAAAATAAGACCTAGCGCAACTTTGGGAGCAAAAATTAATATAAGACACTGTCTTATTTTTGGGGAAACAGGGTACCAGCAAGTGAATCTAAAAATCAAGTGAATAAAAAATCTGAAGTACAGAATGGACTGGTGAATATATTAGAATCAGAAACATAGAAAGGGAGTGGACTGACAATTCTCAGGAGAAGTTGGTCTGAGGGGTGCGGGAGGAGATTGGACAAAAATCTTACGCCTATGGACGAAGACAGTGGCGGGGTAAGGGCATGGGGTGGGGTGGGGAATCAGGTGGAGGGAGCTATGGGGGGGGGAGAGAACAACTCCTATAATCTATGCAATAAAAAAAAAATTATTTTTTACTTTTATTATATAAAAGTAAAAAATAATTTTTAAAAATAAAAAGAAATGCATATCCTATAAAAGACACATCTTGAAAATGCCTAAAGAAAGTTGTCATTTTTTCTTGGTGAAGGGACTGGAGTCTGTATTGATGAAAACACCTTTGTGACTTTGGTGAATGGTGGTAGCTGCATCAGGCAGGGTGATGAGGCTGGTGCTTTCCCCTGATCAGCCTGGTTGCCTCCCACAAAGGGCGCAGGTTGCCTCCCGTGGGGCAAAGGCTTAAGCCGTCAGTAGGATATCCCCTGAGGGCTCCCAGTATGTGAGAGGGGGCTGGTTGGGCTGAGGAACCCCCCACCCCTAGTGCACAAATTTTGTGCATCGGGTGCCTACTATACATAGATCGCTCAAAGTGTATGTCAATTTTTAGATTTGATCATTATTGAGAAATTGCACTTCATAGAGTTCTATCCATTTATACTTCAATAAAAAGTACCTGTTTTTGTTTCATATTGTCACAAGTACAATCAGTTAATAAACTTTTATAGCTTTTTTAATATGTTTAAAATATATTAACTCATTGGTTTAATTTGCATTTCTATTTATAGATCACGTTTTTCTACCTTTTCACCTTAAAATATATATATATATATATTGAGATATTTATATACCACAAAATCTATTTTTGTAAAGTGTATAACTCAGTGATTTTTAGGTTATTCCAATATTGTACCATCACCACCACTTTCTAATTTCAGAACATTTTACCACGCTATAAAGAAACCCTGTACTCATTAGCAATGACTCCCTACTCTGCCTTTCTCTCAGCTCCTGACAACCACTAATCTACTTTCTGCCCCTATAGACTTGTCTATTCTGGGCCATTCGTATCAATAGAATCATATAGTATGTAGCCTTTGTGTCTTGTTTCTTTGATTCAAATAGTGTTTTCAGGGTTCGTTCATCTTACAGCATATATCAGAACTTTGTTTCTTTTCATGGCTAAATAATATTCTATTATATGTATTTACTACATTTGGTTTATTCTTTCTGGTGTTGAATTTGAGACCCTGCTTGCATTTCCCAGTGGTAGAATTGCTTCATCGTATGATAATTATATATTTAGGGTTTGGAGGAACCACCTAACTAATTGTCTTCTGTACCAGTTTCACCATTTACATTCCTACCAGCATTATAGAGGGTTTCAGTTTCTCCACATATCACCAATCTTATTATTCTTCATCAACAATGTTAAGGACTTTATTATAGCCCTCTTAGTGGGTATGAAATGATACCTCATTGTAGCTTTGATTTTCATGTACTTAATGAACAATGTTGAGCATCTTTTCATGCACTTATTAGATGTTTTTATATCTTCTTTGGAGGAATGTCTATTCAGGTTCTTAACCCATTTTTAATTGGATTATTGTCTTTTATTAGTGAGCTAGAGGCCCAGTGCACAAAATTCATGCCCTGGTGGGGGAGGGATCCTTCATTCTGGCCTACGCGCTCTTCAATCTGGGACTCCTCGGGGGATGTCTGACTGCCAGTTCAGGCCCGATCCCATCTGGATTGGACCTAAACCGGCAGTCGGGCATCCCTCTCACAATCCAGGACTGCTGGCTCCCAGTGGCTTGCCTGCCTGCCAGCATGATCACCCCTTAACCACTCCCCTGCCAGCCTGGTCAACACCTAACTGTTCCCCTGCTGGCCTGATCACCCCCAACTGTCCTCCCTTGCAGGCCTGGTCACCCCCAACTGCCCTTCCCTGTAGTCCTGGTCGTTCCCAACTGCCCCCTCTCCTTGCTTGCCTGACTGCTCACATCTACCCTTCCCTGTCGGCCATCTTGTGGTGGCCATCTTTGACCAGATGGTGGCTGCCATCTTGTACTAGGATGTGAGGGTCAATTTGCCTATTACCTCTTTATTATATAGGATTGCAAGAGTTCTGTATACTAAATGTACGTCCTTTCTCAGATATATGATTGCACAAGTTTTTTCTGTGGATTGTCTTTCGTATTTCATAAATACTTTGAAGCACAAACTTCATTTATGTAGTTTCACCTATTCATATACCAGTATGTGTGTGTATGTATTCATACATAATGTTTTTAATGTCATATCTAAGAGACCATTGCCTAATCCAATCTACGAGGACTTACACTTATGTTTTTTTTCTAGGAGTTTTGTAATTTTAGCTCTTACATTTAGGTCTTTGATCCATTTTCAGTTAATTTTGCATATTGTGGAAAGTAAAGGTCCACCTTAATTCTTTTGGAACCAGTTTCTCATCACCATTAGTTGCAAAAACCTTTCTTTTAATTGAATGATCTTGACACATTTGTAGAAAATTAACTAATCACAAATTTATGGTTTTATTTTTGAATTTTTAATTATATTGATTTATATGTATACTAGTGGCCTGGTGCACAGATTTGTGCATACTGAAAGGAAATTAATTAAAAGAAATGTTTTAATATCCCTATTTGCCCTTTCTTTATAATAAAAGTGTCAACCAAATTTACAATTGATACTGATAGATCGAAACACACACATGCAATTGGCACCAGTGAGAGCTTTATATGTTTCACACATGCTAGAATCAACTTAGCTTTTTATATACATACTAGTGGCCTGGTGTACAAAATTTGTACACGAAGGGGGCTTTCCCTCTGCACAGCCTGCACCCTCTTCAATCAGGGACCCCTTGAGGAATGTCCAACCACAGGGATCAAGCCTAAATCATCTTAAAACTGAATGGCATAGAAACCGACCAATCAGAACCAAGTCTGGGTGAAGTTTGAGGAACCGATGGCTGCCTAGGAGGCAGAGCTTTTGATGTTGAGTGGCTTAGAAACTTATCAGAACCAAATTGGCTGGCAGTGGGGGGGCAAGATCAGGCTGGCAGAGGAAGGCAGTTGGGGGCAACCAGACTGGCAGGAGAGGGCAGTTGGGGGTGAGATCAGGCCAGCAAGGGAGGACAATTGGGGGCGAGATCAGGTTGGCAGGGGAGGGCAGTCAGTGGCGATCAGGCCAGCAGGCAGAGGCAGTTAGGGGCAGTCAGGCAGGTGAGCGGTTAGGAGCCAACAGTCCCAGATTGCAAGAGGGATGTCCGACTGATGGTTTAGACTTAAAGAGTTCTTCCATTCCTTAAAATTTTTTTCTAAAATTATTAAAATGAGACTATATTATTTTATTGCTGTCACATTTAAGAGGTTTTTCATTAAGCATGCAAAAATTGTTTTGCCATTTCAAATTTTATACTCTGAATTTCTGTGTTACTTCTTTTTCCCCCCATTAGGTTAATGGCACTGATGCAGATTTTGAATATGAAGAAATCACACTTGAAAGGGTAAAAATTATTAATTATCTTGTTTTTATGCATAAATCTGTTGCTTTAAAGAACTCTAAATATACAGTACTGCTCTTTCATTATAAAATTCAAGGGAATAGATCTTTCAAAAAACAGAGTCATGTAATATTCATTTCTTTATAAGTTTACATATCATAAAATTAGCCTTGGTATTTTCAGAACATGTTGCTATTCTTTAATAACCTTTTTTAAAATAACTTTTTATTTAAAATAATTTTAGATTTATAGAAATGTTATACAGAGTTCCCATTTTCCTGGACTCATTTTCACCTATTATTAACATCTTACAATACTAGAATACATCTATTTCAACTGAACCAGTATCGAACATTATTAACTAAAGTCTAGACTTTATTGGATTTTCTTAGTTTTGATGTTTTTCTTTTTCAGGATCTCATCCAAGATACTACATTATATTTATTTATCATGTTTCCTTGAGTCTGACAGTTTCTCAGAGTTTTTTCCATTTTTAATTTTTAAAATTATTTTTCATATAATAAAATATTATTTATTTTAAGTAAGTCTTTAGTAACCTGGTCATTGTATCAATTTTCTTTCATAGCAAAATAATAATCAAATATTTCTAATTGACAAGACCCTATCGAAAATTTATGTACTCCCCTAGTCAGAAAATAACTTAAGGGTATAATTCATATTTATAAATTTTCTTGCTATATTTTCCCCTTAAAGATATCAGCATTTAATTGATGTTGCATTTTAGTAAAACCACCCTATATGACTAGCATTTTGTAGTATTCCATACAAGTAAATTTCCTGAGTAGCTGCGTATACAGGGTGGGGCAAAAGTAGACTTACAATTGATTGTATGGAACATCATATAATGATTAATGAATAATTATAAGAATAAACTCTTGTTTTGTATACTCCCAACTATAAACCTACTTTTACCACCTTGTATGTAAGATGAAAATCCTAGATAATTAAATTTGCTTATATTTGAAGCCAGAATAGATTCTGGGTGAAAATATACCTTAAAAAAAGCCTCTTTCATGTATAATTTATTGCCTACTATTTGAATTTGGATCTCCTAATCAAGTGAGGTAGATGACTGATTAAATTTTAAGTAAACATAGTATTAATGTATTACACATATTTCAATGTGGTGTTCTGTTGTTGGTTTTTTTCTGAGCTTTATGGAGATAATTGACATAAAATTTTAACCTTATATCTTATTCATTTTTTCATTCTTTCCTAATGCCTTTTAAATTTCTTTATGTAGTCAGGACTGTACATTGTATTTTTACTGATTAAAAAACTGGAATATGCTGGGAATGGGGGAAATGTTGTTAAAAGGTACAAACTTGCAACTAGAAGATAAGTTCCTGAGATCTAATGCACAGCATAGTGATTATAGTAAATAATACTGTATTATGTACTTTAAAATTGCTGTGAGACTAGCTTTTAAACGTTAACACCACAAAAAAGAAATAATAACTATGTGACATGATAGAGGTGTTAACTAAAGCTACACTGGTAATTAATTGCAATATGTAAATGTATCAAATCAACACATTGTACACCTTAAACTTACACACATGTATGTAAATTATATCTTAATAAAAGCAAATAAAAAGACTTGAGTACTTGAATAACTTGATAAACTCACAACCTATTGATACTATTGCTGAGATTCTAGTAACTCCTGAGGATTTGAGACTGGGGGGAAAAAACATTTTTTAAAACAGAATTTTAGGGCACATCATAGTAAAATGACTGTGTAAGCTATTTAATACTACCAGTTAAATAATAGGTCCAATATGTTTGCTTATTTGAATTGCTTAAAGCCAATGTTGGAAAATAGCAAAATAAACATTTTGAAAATACCATTGCTTAGAATAATTGTTCTTAGCGACTTAATAGCAGTAAAACCCTTTCTTCAAAGAAAATATTATTCAGAAATACTATATATAAAACAAGCAAAAAGTAGGACTGCTTTGACAAATTGATTTTGCTATCAAGAATACTCACCAAAGTTATATTTTCAGGTTAGGATTTCAGTATTAAAAAAGCCTTTTGCTGGTCAGGTGTCCTGGTTAAACAAGTCAAGGATAATAACAACTATTACTTAGCAAATCGAATGTTGTCATTTTTTAAAAAAATATTTTTTAAATGATTTCAGAGACGAAAGGAGAGGAGAGAGAGAAACTTCAATGATGAGAGAGAATCATTGATTAGCTTCCTCCTGCTTTCCCCCAGCTGGGGATCTTGCCTGCGGCCCGGGCACTGTCCTGACCAGGAATCGAACCATGGCCTTCAGGTTCATAGATCAACACTCAACCACTGAGCTACGCCGTCCAGGCAGATTGCTGTCATTTGAAAATAAGCTGATGGCAAAGTTAGCAGAAGAAAAGCTCTACCCTTTATCCCTTTCTTAAAAGACTAAAATAATATATTGGTTTTACCTACTCAAGTAATAGCAACAAAAAGAATAATTACTTTAGTGTTTTTCTCTTAGAGACATTTGCCTTACCCAACATGAGCAAGGTACAGTCTAATAAAAAAAAAAAAAGATCTAGTAGTGACACCTTTGCAGAGAGATGATTAATCCAAGGACAAATTGTAAATACTTGTAAAGAAAGAACCATAGACTAGACTCCAAAAGTGTACTTAGTATGTGTACTTCAATCTTACTTACTCACCATTAATGCCTCTGAATTCTTCAGAGAGAGAAAAAGCTTTCTTTTTATTTCTTAATTTAGAATATTCATATTCTCTGCACATGTATCTTTATGAGTTTGTTCCCTGTGTTAGTATGTTTTCTAGGTCCTATAATGACAGGAACCTATCAATAAAGATAATTATTATTCACTGATTTTTTTTTTTTCTTTATCCTTAGGGAAATTCAGGGCTTGGCTTCAGCATTGCAGGAGGTACGGACAACCCACACATTGGAGATGACTCAAGTATTTTCATTACCAAAATTATTGCAGGGGGAGCAGCTGCCCAAGATGGAAGATTGCGGTATGTTTTGCACTTTATATTAAGATACTGAATCCACTTTTTATATTTTTCTTTAGGCAAACTGAACAAGGCATAATACAAAAAGAAACACTATAACAATAATTAATGTAAGATAGATGCTCAAATAATGACTGAATGAGATAATTGTGCTCTAAGCATTGTTTCTTCTCTCATTTAGGAATTTAAATTTTTTCTTAGTTTCTATTTTCAAATAAATTCTCAAAAAATTTTATATTTTCTGGGTATAAAACATATATATAAACTTATTTAAGATACAGGGATCAGATATCTCTGAGTTTATATTTCCTACCACAAAGAATAAAGATTATGTAAACTTTAAATATATTTTCTTAATTGAATAGATGAAAATAAGTTACATAAACTCTTATTTAAATTTAGTGCCCCATTTCAAAAAATATCTTTAGCATACTTAGTTATTTCCTTAGGCATTTTATTCACTTGTTTATGATATATATAGTGGCAGTTTTAGGATAAGGAATTTATATGGTCTGTAAAAAACACCTTATTTTAAGTTTATTGGTACCTCATGCCATTCTTCAGTTTTTAAGCTGCTCATTGGACATGACAGGTGGTATGTTAACTTAATTCTGTTAGATATAAAATAAATAATTTGACCATTCACATAAATATAGCCATTTATTTCCTGGTTATGTTACTGGACTTGTATTTGTGCTTCTGGTAGGTGAAAATTAATATGTCCCATTTGTTTCACTGAGGGAACATACCTAGAGTATTAACTCTAAGGTATCATTGTCTTTGGGTTTAGCAATTCTTTTCTCTAAATATTAAAGTTAATTGGATATAGAATGTTATCAGGATCAATTTAAATATTTTAATTATGCTTTGTTCCCCTTCCCCACCCAACTTTAAATGACCAATTTCCTCTTCTCTCCCAACCCCCCAAATGAGACCAGAGATAGGGCAAAAAATTAGAACTAAGTATGAATATGAATCAGACTTTAAAAAAACATTGCTATGTCGAATTAAGTTATTTATATTATAACCTTTAATTAATATATGCATATATAACCTTGAATTTTACATATATCTCAACAAATAACTTTTATTTTTTTTAAATCTAGTATCTAAGTTGGAAAAGGCAATCAAAAAATATTTTGGATAAATCTCAGTTTTGTCACTTCCTATCTCTGTGACCTTAAGCTAGATATTCGGACTGAGTCTCAGTTCTTTTTTAATCTTTGAATGACAACCTATTGGTCATTATCTGAGTGACCTTGGGAAAATTATTTAAATGCTTTGTGCCTTGGCGGGACCGGTTTGGCTCAGTGGATAGAGCGTTGGCTTGCGGACAGAAAGGTCCTAGGTTCGATTCCAGGCAAGGGCATGTACCTTGATTGCGGGCACATCCGCAGTAGGGGGTGTGCAAGAGGCGGCTGATCGATGATTCTCTCTCATCGATGTTTCTAACTCTCTATACCTCTCTCTTCCTCTCCGTGAAAAATCAATAAAATATATTTTTAAAAAATAAAATAAAACAAATGCTTTGTGCCTTAGTATCTGTAAACTAATGATATAAATAAGTACCTACCTTATAAGAGTTAAATTAAGCACTAAAAGAAGTAGTTGGCATGTGGTTAATGCTCAATAAATATTTGATACTAGAGGCCCAGTGCACGAAATTCATGCAAGGGTAAGCCTTCGCAGTCCCAGCTGCCTCACTCTCACAGCCCTGGCTACCTCACGGCCTTGCAGCCACCCCCACACCCCACCCACAGGTCATTCTGGAGAGTCGTTCTGCCGTCCAGTCTAATTAGCATATTAGCTCTTTATTATATAGGGGTGTTTTTTTTTAAGTGTTAAGCCTACACATAATAAGCATACAAATTGCAGCTGTTATTCATTATTTTTGTATAATCTATTATTTGTACTGTTTCATTTGTTGGCCATTGGGAAATGTTTTTATTTATTAATATGAATATTTGATACACTGTAATTTAACATGCAGTTTCTTCACTTATATTTTTCTCTAGCAAATAATTCTCTTTACCTTTAAAATGAAAAGGCCAACAAAAAAATAGGCAAAATTGATATTTAAATTTTTAATACTTAATTTTTATTTTATTTTCTCAGGGTCAATGACTGTATATTGCGAGTAAATGAAGTAGATGTTCGTGATGTAACACATAGCAAAGCAGTCGAAGCTTTGAAAGAAGCCGGGTCTATCGTGCGCTTGTATGTTAAAAGACGGAAACCGGCATCAGAAAAAATAATGGAAATAAAGCTCGTTAAAGGTCCTAAAGGTATAAATAAATTACACTGAGACAAATTAAGTTAAATATCTTTGCATTGAGTATAATTACGAAGTTCTTTCTGGTACATTCTAAGATTAACAATACTGGGAATGTACAGAACTTACATGAATTTTTAGAATTTCTACTGATTTTTGTCTTAAGTAGACTTCTAAATACTTTAAAATAATGTATAGTGTGGATATTAACTTGTAATCTTTAATCCATAGTATGTTAAATGCAAGTACAAAGACTAAGTTAAAAGAAGAAAATATGAATGTATTAGTAGCAGTTCATTTGCCATGACTATTAAGATTTGATTTTTGAATTTTGAAAGCATGAATGGAATTAAGGGTAAATAGAAATATTGATCCTAATTTGTGATTCATGGAAGAGATGGTACTCCAATAAACAAAATAAGGAATAGAGAGCTACAAATTTGTTTGGTACTAAAGCTATGAGATTTATGAGTTCCATAAATGCATTATTTAAAATTAATTTGTAGAATATTGAGAAAATATTCACATTTCTGAAACTTATTCTGCCCATCACCAGCAGACAATTTTATTATTTTTTCTTAATTGTTTTAATCTCCTGAAGGTGTGTTAGTAAGAAGCAGTTATGTTCAAAACAAAAGTGGAACATAAGTTTACAATGTCTCTGAACTAACTAATTCATTTACAAAGAGACTTTAAGACGTAACCTGGGAGGAGGGGACAGAGGAACTTATTTGTAACAGGAGCAGTTATAATTACAATTGTCCCCTGATTGAGAACAAATATTTAGGAATTTAAAAGTAAGTAAATAGATTATTTTCTTTTTAAAAAACATAATGTGAAATTATCACCTTCTGTTTTCCATCTATTTCTTTCTGGACTTTAGTTCACATTTATTGATGAAATTCTAAAACTAGGGTTTTCCAAACAGGTCTTGGGTTCAGCATTGCTGGAGGTGTTGGAAATCAACATATTCCTGGGGATAATAGCATCTATGTAACCAAAATAATTGAAGGTGGTGCAGCACATAAGGATGGTAAACTTCAGATTGGAGATAAACTTTTAGCAGTAAGTATAAGAAATGTTTTGAAAATTTTTTTGATTATGTCTTTTTTTTTTTTTTTCTGACAGACTGTGGAATTTCAACATGCCAAAAATATTTCAATTAAACACATGCATACTAGCCTTACTTTAGTCAAAACCTGCTAATGATTCTTGGTATTATCTTTATTTTTTATTTCAATTTCCTCTACCAGCTCCCCTACCGTTTTATTTTCTTTTATCTTCTGTTTTTTGTTGATGGTTTAGGGCAGTGGTTGGCAAATTCATTAGTCAACAGAGCCAAATATCAACAATACAACGATTGAAATTTCTTTTGAGACCCAAATTTTTTAAACTTCTTCTAATGCTACTTCTTCAAAATAGACTTGCCCAGCCCATGGTATTTTGTGGAAGAGCCGACTCAAGGGACCAAAGAGGAGCCACATGTGGCTCGAGAGCCGCAGTTTACTGACTACAAGTTTAGGGCTTGAATTTACAGAATTGTTTAATCATAGCTCTTAGATTCATAACACAATATCATTCATTGTTCAGATGTGACTTATTTATTTAGTTTTATACTTAACTTAATTGATTGTTTTATTTATAATATAATGAACACTGCTTAAGTCATTATACAGCCCAACAATTTGTTATTTCTTTTCATTTTATTTTATTACTTTTTCCCTTTTTATTGAATTTATTGGGGTGACTCTGGTTAACAAAATTATACCAATTCCACATACACTAGTCTACAACACATCATCTGTACACTGTATTGTGTGTTCACCAGCCCAAGTCAACTCTCTGTCCATCACCATTTATCCCCTTCTATACCCTCCTCCATCTCCCTCTACTACTCTTCCCCACCAGCAATCACCACTTTGCATTTTAAAAATTGTTTAATCACACATATATATGTTTAAATATTTCATTCAGTATTATTTGTTTTGAAAATCTTCTAAGGCTGTTATGCTATATGTAGTCTTTTAATATGTTTTTTCACTAAATATTATTTTACTAAGACTTATCCATATTGTTGCCTAGAGCTGAAATTTGTCCTTTTTTTTTTTTTTTTAATATATTTTATTGATTTTTCACAGAGAGGAAGAGAGAGGGATAGAGAGTTAGAAACATCGATGAGAAAGAATCATCTATCAGCTGCCTCTTGCACACCCTACTGGGGATGTGCCTGCAACCAAGGTACATGCCCTTGCCTGGAATCAAACCCGGGACCTTTCAGTCCGCAGGCCAACACCCTATCCACTGAGTCCATTTTACCTCTACATAATATTCTATTCTGGGACTATCCCACAGTTTATCTAATCTTCATCAATAACTGTCTTAGCCTATGCACGTTTCCTAGAAAGACAAAACCTGAAGCAAAGCTCCTATACTAAGTTTGTGTAATGAGGTGGTAGAATCTCAGCAAAGCTAGAATGGATGAATATAAAAAGTGAGGCAGAGAATAAGGAAAAGCTTATACCAGATATTATGTTTCTGAGCTGGCTTATGTTTCATAAGAAAATGTAGTTGATGGCTTATCGTGTAGGACAGTCTTCCAGGCAGGTCATGTGGAACCTGCCATCAGGGAAGAGAAAGGATTTATCTTCTAGCCTTTTTAGTCCTCTGTCTCTTGTTAGTCTACACTCATGGGGATTAATTTTTGGACTGTGTTACCCAATCCTCTGGGCAAATTCTAGGGAAGCCAGCTCATTCACTCAGTACTTCCCCTGAACTCAGAAATGGTGGAAAAGGCTAAGTAGAGCCTTAGTAGGCTAAGCAAGTCAAATATGGGCTTCTGATGTGTTACAGCTCTTACTATGTGGAACACATCAACCATGCGTAAGCCCAGTCCTTACTACAGAAGAGGTTGAAGGAGCTGGTAATGAATGGTACGAGACAAGGTGAGAGGAGAAGTAGCCAGGAGTCCACTGAACAGCCAAACCCAAATGGGCAAGTAGGCTGAAGTGAATCTGAAAAGACATGTGTATAGTGGTGAATTAGGTTATTTCTTTTCTTTTTCTTTTTGTACTATGAATAATTCTGCTAGGAAGACCTTTTGTATGTTCTAGTACATTGGAATCTAATGGATCACAGCCTATCAGTAATATTATACAAAACTATCATAATGTTTTCCAAACTCTTTATAAAAAAATTTTTTTTTCAGGGAAGGGGGATGGTTTGTATGCATTATAATCTATAAAAAATGTGAGATATAAAGGAAATCCATGCCAATAGAAAGCCTGAATAAAAAATTTGTAGTCACTGACAGAACAGTTTTTTAAAAACCCAAAACACTAATTGTGCATGAGAAAGCAATTGTGGTTTCACATCAGTTACCTAATTCCAACAACTGCTATGTTATATACTTCTAAACTTTGTCTCACAGAATTTTAAAACTCCAGATAATATAGCTTGCCTTTTCATCAATTTCCTTTTCTCTTATCCCAACCTCAAATCCCAGAACATAGAGAGCAAAAGCTCCGAATCCAAATATAGAAAATAGTCTGGAGGTCTGTGTATCAGGTCAAATGTATAATTGGCCATTAGTGTTCTTTTCCTTAATGTTTGAATTTGCTAAGAAATGTCCTTCCTCATTCCCAGTCACCTGAAGCTAGGGCTCTAGAACTTGAGGTCTGGGTGAATGAGATGGTGTCAGATCTGTCGATGGCAAAGCTTCCGTTGACATAGGACTTCTTGGCATCTGAGTCTTCATTATCGAGTGTTGTGGTTTCCACAGCAAAGCAGTTTTTAAGTTGACATTAGATGCAACAGTCATCTGCTCCAGCTCCTTCTCAGAGAGCTTCTCCACAATGCCTGCCCCAAAGGCGTCACCAAGGACATTCACCATGGTCCTGAACCGGTCCAGGAACCAGTCAACAGCGATGATCAGGGTGACATCCTCAGTGGGCAGGCCCACAGCATTCAGCACAATCACCATGGTCACCAGGCCAGCCTGGGGTACACCCGCAGCTCCGATGCTGGCAGCTGTGGCTGTGACACTGATAGTGATGATCTGCCCAGTGCTCAAGTCCATGTCATTCAACTGTGCAATAAATATAGCTGCTACTGCTTCGTAGAGTGCAGTCCCGTCCATGTTGACTGTAGCACCAACGGGTAACACAAATCTAGTGATCCTTTTGTCCACCTGGTTGTTTTCTTCAGCACAGTGGAAAGTGATAGGCAGGGTTGCTGAACTGGAAGAGATCATGAGAGCTGTCAGGAGAGCCTGGGCCATCCCCATGGCATACCGTAAAGGGTTCTTTCTTACCACGATGAAATATATCAGTGGGAGAATTACAGTGGAGTGGATTGCAAGCCCAATCAGAACGGTGACCACGTAAAGACCTAGCTTGTGGAATATAACCCAGTCTTTAACTTCTATGATCTTTCCGGCAATCAGGAATAAAATACCGATTGGCATGTAACACATAATGATCTGAATGATTTTCATGGTTGCATTCATCAGAGCATTGAAGAAATTCACCAGAATCTGTCCCTCTTTTCCCATTTTTCCAATGGCAAGTCCAAAGACAAGGCAAAAGACAATCAAGCCGAGGACATTGATGCCATCTACATACATGCCTACCACTTTGTATTCCTTTGTTTCATTCTTGGCAGCAGTTGTCATGACTGCTGTAACTGATGCTCCCGTGGTATTCATCCCTGGCTTACTGGGAGGACTCACTTCTTTCCACGTGGTTTTATACTGCTGAAAACAGGCTTGGACAAGGTTCACAGGGAACATATTCCTGATCAAGTCTAACATGGCGTCCATAGTACTGACTTCAGGGCTGCTGCCATGCCTGTCAATTTCACCCACTTTCTGGCTGACACCAGGCTTGATGATCATCACCAGCACAATACCTAGAATGACAGCAATGAGAGTGGTGCAGAAATAATATATAATAGCACGCAGCCCAATTTTTCCAGATACGTTGGAATCCAATGCAGCGACACCCGTGATCATGCTGGATACAATTAGTGGTAAAATGATGAGATTCAGCATCCTCATTAGGATTTCTCCAGGAAAGGTGAAGTAGAACTTCTCCAGATTAGAGAGCTTGCTGTATTCTCGAACCAAGACTCCTATGCCAATCCCTAGCACCACCGCGGCGATGGTGGAAAGCAGCAGCCAGTTATTCTTCAGGAAGCGCTTGGGGTCGCATCCCTTCTTCGCCTGTTTCTTCATGGCGGACGGTAGGGCTTGGAGCCGCCAAGGCGACCGCTATAGCGCGCGGTGCTAAGGGGTGCGCGCCAGGGCCAGGCCAGCGGGGTTCCGTGGCTCAGTGGGGGCGAGACGTGGGCAGCAGCAGCGGAGGCAGCGGCGGCAGCAGCAGAGGCAGCGGCAGCTCCGCGGCAGCAGCAGCAGAGGCAGCATCGTCGTCATCGTCGGGGCGGGGGTATTTGTAGAGGATGTGCTCTGCCTGTTAACCACCGCCGCCGCTGCTGTCACTTCCTTGTAAAAATTTTACATTTCCATCAACAATATATAAATAATTCCCTTGTTGTACATGCTGTCCAGGATTGCTTATTATTTACAGCCAGCAGATGGACTGATTATTTTTTAGTTAATGATGGGGAAGAGGAGGAGTTGACCTTGAAATGCTTTTCACTAACTTATCCTGTCACAGCTATGACTTACTCTTATCCAACCTACAGCCAAAATCCCCTCATCATCACCTGCATACACACATTCTCTCTCACACACAATCCAGCACTACACCTCTATTTACCAGCTCAAAAGAGTCTTCTTTATCTATTGTGTTCTTCTCTTATTTTTTAATTTCTTGAATACCATGTTTCCTTTATGGTTTCTTCAGAATCAGTTTTAGTGGTAGGGAGCTAACGATTTATGCTGATTTACCATTGAGTGTGGCTTTGGTAGTCATTATATTCTTAGTTCTCATATTAATTGACACATCAAGCATTTGACACACCTTCCTTCTTCAAACACTTTTTTATTTTGCTGAATAGTCACCTTTTATCTTAGTATTTCGCTTACCTCGCTAGTCACTTCTCATTCT